CCTTCCTTCCTTCCTTCCTTCCTTCCTTCCTTCCTTCCTTCCTTCCTCGAAGACAACAGAACCTGGAAAAGAATCCCACAACACGTTGGAAAAGAATCTCACAGAAAATGGGGTTCCTACTTATATATATATATACCTAGAACCCCTTTGACCTCTGTTTTGATAGGAAAAACATATTTGGCCCCACCATTGTTGCAACTCAACACGTCGAGTTCCGAGCCGTCTGTTGGGCCAATGCCGGCCAACCAACAAGAAGTAGTTGGAGAGTGTAGTGTAGGATGACAAGAGATAGGCAAGTTGGGTAGAGAGGAGCTGAGATGATGAGAATCGTTGGTTGATCTGAGGCGGGGGAACCTCACTTGACTCCCAACACTCAAGCCATACAGTAGGTCTTGCTCGCCCTTAAATAGGCATAACAAGCCACTGGCCAATATTGACACAGCTTTGAACAAGCGAACATACACAAATAAGCCCGATGAGTTAACAGCTGGTCTTTCTTGGGTCATGGATGTCTTATATGGACTTCACAATGGTTTGGAATGTGGCATTCCTGGATTTTGATCAACAACATCAACGGAGAATGTAGATCATAAGGTTACTCGAGGCTCCCATCAAATGCAACCTAACCATTTGGATTGTGACACCTCCTCGCTTATTTAAGGGTACATATCATATGTTATTTTGGAATTATTTTCTTATATAGTTTGGATATGTTTGGATGTATTTTTTTTGTGCTCCTGGCTGCTGTCTTATAAAGGAAAAAGGATAAGGGAAAGGAAACGGAAAAAGAAAAAGGACAAGCAATGGAAAGGGATTAAAAGAAAAGGGGAAAAAGAAAATGGAAAAGGAAAGGAAAAGGGAAAGGGAAAAGGGAAAAGGAAAGGAAAAGAGAAGAGGAAAGGAAAGGTAAAAGGAAACGGAAAGGGCAAGAGGAAAAGAAAAGCAAACAAAAGCAAAAAGCCAACACACGCGCCCAAAAGCAACCGAAGCCACCAACAGAAGCCACCAAAAGCCAACAGCCAACAGAAGCAAAAAGCCAACGCAAGCCACCAAAAGCCAACTGAAGCCACCAAAAGTCCACAGAAAGGGTCGGGGACTTTAATCGGGATTTGTGTTGCGTGTTTAATTGTGTGTTTTTTTTTGGGAACGGCATTACAAGTAGAGATTTTGTCTAGAAGAGTCATCAAAAGCAAAGAATGCAATAGAGAACTCTTCAAAAGAGAGATTTCAAAATATAAAGTCATAAAAAAATAGTGATTTTGCAAAAAAGTTATCAAAAGTAGCGATTGTAATGGGTCAAAATGAGACATTGTGACTAGTAAAGTAGACAATTCATCAAACATGATTCAGGCATCAAAAGTAGATATGTTGACTAGAAAAGTGCATCAAAAGTACGTATTTTGAATAGAAAAGTCCTTACAAACGACGCTTACAAACGGAATTTAATAGAATTTCAATAAGTACGTCATAAAAAGTACGTAGAGATTTCGATAGAAGAGGCATCACGATAGAAATGTCCGCTCAGCGCCTCCCCCGCAATGAGCACAAAGTATACTGCCACAAAAGCCATACAGAAGACAAAGCCACAAAAGCCAATAAGCCACCAAAGCCGCAAAAGCCACAAAGCCACCAAAGCCACCTAACCACTAAAAACAAAAAACTACAACTGCAAAATACCCTTTGAAATCACCCTCCCCATAGAAACCACCAGAAGCCACCAAACGCAAGCAAAAGCCACAAGCCTGCAAAAGCTATCAAATAGAGGTAATTCCAAAAGGAAAAATCGTTCTCCAAAAAACATATTACCCTCCTTTAGGGATCATCAACGGTCTACCTTAAGAGGATGTCAGAAACCGACCTGCACGCTCTCTCGACCAACGCCGTACTTTTTGCATGGTCCAACCCCTGCAAGGATCTGGTCGGTTTGCAGGATCTCATCGGTCATCGATCTCTTCAGATTCCCAAACCAGCTCTTCTACCCAACCAACAAGGCCTTCAAGTCGCGGGCGACTCGGGACCGTCACGGTCGGTGGAATCCATGGACCATCGGTGGCTCGCGCCTGCGGAGTCGTCAGCCCCAAGCAGTCAGGGGGATTGTTGAACCTTGCAGCTTGAAGTCAGCCGCCGATATCCGTCAAGCCATGTCAAACACGAACAAACCGTGTCGTTCGCGGAAGGTTCGCGGAAGGTTGGCGCGTGTGGAGCAAACTCTTCACTCCCATTCGTTGCCTGGGGGGTGTCCGCCCTCGACATATATCCACATATCATGTCACTCGAACCGCAGTTCTGGTCGAAAGAAACCACTGAAAGAACCTCGATCGATCCAGCCATCGCCAAGCCACAAGGTCGAATAGTGTGGATAGTTCTTAAAAGCACCATCCTTACAACTCTCTGCCGAGCAAGAGACCGTATGGCGTCTGCATCTTCATTCATGACGTCTTAGTCTTTATCTATACCTATACAGCACTCCGTTTCACCCGTGTTTTGATAGGAAAGAAATGGAAAACACGTCGCTTGGGTTCCAGGTATACTAATACGTCTATCAACTTCTATCAACATGTTTGCTTGGATGGTGGGTTCTTATGAAATCTGGCACCCCGCTCTAAATGTCTATCCGTCCCCTTCATCGGAAAACTCCTCGTCTGAGCCTGAGCTGTTGTTCTTCTCAGAAAGTAAAGGTCCCAAGGAGTCCAACGGATTGCTGACAGAATATCCCCGACAGGACCTGTCTGGGACTGCCATATATGCTGATCAGTTGGGGTGGTGGTTTGGGGGGTCAATGTAGGCATATGGCAGTCCCATTGGTCGTGTCTGGGTATTTGGGGGTGCCAAAATCTGCTCCAGGCTTGAACATTTGGCTCTCTCTGGGCTCTGTTTAGCAGAAGCGATCGGGTGGCTGTCTATAAATGGCGCCAAAATTTGAGACCAAAGAAGGTCAAAAGGTGCTTGCCCAGTGAATCTCTGTATGAAATAGCAGATCTCTTCGCCATGATCATACAGATCTTCACTGGCTTGCTCTGACATAGCATCCTTCCCTTTTGCAAGCTCTTGCTGGGTATCTGCTGGCAGCTGGTCTTGAAAGTCTTTGCAGACCTGGCAACCACCGCGCCACGGCCGCGCCCCACGGTTCATCCGGACTCCGACCGTCAAGCCGGACGGAGTGTCAGTGGACGTGGGTTTGAGGTGGCAGTAGACATGGCTTCTTTTTCACACATGCCAGGTAAGTGAGGTTTGCCGCCTGGCTCAAAAGAACTGACTGGTGCTTGGTAAGGAATAGTGAGCCTTACTAACCTTATAAGGTGAGGAATAGGTTACAGTAAGGAACTGACACCTCACTGGAATGGATCCTAAGGGTTATAGTGAGGTGTCATTCTCTATTCTCTACGAGACACCGGTCAGAGAAACACTCTCGCCAGTCCCATCCAAACGTTGCAACCCAGGTGGTCAATCGGATGGTGAAGACTGAATGAGGAAAGACTTGAGTGCAGACTGGGAAGACTTGATGCCAACCATTGCTTTAATTGTCTGAATCCCAAAGAACCATATAGGATTTAGACCACAAAACCAGGTCATTCCCATTCATAAAAATTTGTCTTTGAAGGCCAGGGTGCAGACCCCCCTCATTCTATTTCAACCCCCCTCATCTCCAGGATGCTTTTCAACATCTCCTGGCCTGGAGGCTTGATTTCATCAAGTCTTTCTCCGGTCTGGTCCGGGAGGGAAGATGACTTTCCTCTACAAACCCGGCTTGTTTTCCACTGCCACTTGTTCGTCATGGTGTTATGTTCTTATTATGTAGACTCTTGAGTAATTAACCCCTCCCCAGACATGGATGGGGGACTGAAACATCATCGCAGAGTCTACGGTACATGATGTCAAGGGCCCAACTCTCTGTTTCCCAAACTCTGAAACGTTCCTGCAAAGCGGACAGGGAGGGCGGAGGACGGCCCTTTCTTTGTGTCGAACTCTCCTCATCGGAGGACGAAGTTCATGTTCATTCGAATTCCTTATGCTTCTGTTTGTGTGCATGGAAAAAAATCTGCATCCTCTCACACACGGTATTTCGTCTAAGTCTTCACCCAACAACCATTGTTCTACTCAAGATACTCACGGGTTTCAGATCAAATCAACACCAAGACATCACCAAACTCTTGCGCTCGAACATGCTCAACGGCGACCAAGGTCCTTGGGCCACCCAACATCCCTCTGTAAACCAAGCCCCAAACATTATATACGTCATTAAGATGAAGTGATTAAGTCATTAGGTCATGAAGTCATGACACTGTACTCTGGGACTGGAATGCTTCTTCAACCACCCCCAGGGCCAACCATCGGCCAACAGCCCACGGTCCGGGGGGCTTGGGGGGGCTCTGTCCCGCTGCTCTGTCCGGGTGAGAAAGACTCAGACCGTCCACTGTTTTGGAGCACCAAGACAGAAAGATTCCATGCTTTCATCCACCAAGGACAAGAAGACCACAAAAAAAAAAAGAAAGAAGGTTCCGCCCTTAGGTCAGCAAAAGCCGTCACTTCCCCGCACGAGGCTGGCTCGAGCCCATGTGTGACTCCCTTGTTGCAACCAAGCAAAATCCGATCCCCGAAGATGCTCTCCATTGTTATCATCAGGGTTGATCAAAAGAGGCCGCGCAGGAAACTAGGCCAAATAGGTGAATCCCATTTGGAAGCATCGACCTCTAGATCCGGCAGCAACCACCTCGTGCCAGCCACTTCCACGGCGCCTCGTTGTAGATCATGACGATCTCCACATCACAGTTCCCCTCAATACCCCACCACTCATTCCTTGGATCCACAGCGGCACGGGCGCGGTGTGGTTTTTGTCGCTCGCGACCGAAGAGACCCTTCGATCCAACAAGAGGTTACCACAGACACTCTAGAATGTCCAGAACTTCGACCATCTATATAGCCGGATTCAAACACCGTTGTCTTAATGGTCTTTACATGTCTTTACCAAAGAACCACTGTTTTACTAAGGATTCTTACACTACACCACCAGCTCAACCGTTCTTTTAATGGTCGAACTGAAGGCTAGGGTAGGGCTTCCCAAAATAGATAGAAAGGTAGATCAGGTAGATCCCCACATGGAAAACTTATTGGAAACCATGCCACGGTCATCTGGATCCCGGGATCACGACATTCCGGGTCTGAAGGTTTCAACATGTTCCTATCACCTCCCCCGTGCGTTGGACGCAGCATACGCAGCGAAAGAGGACTCGCAGGGTACCCCCACACGGTGGTCCACGGTGAAGAACACCCAGAATCCTCTTTACCAGAAGCGGGGAAAGAGGATTCGCCCCCCCTTCAGCGGTCGGGACCCCAACAGGGATCCAACGACCCCGTTCGCTGAACCCATCTTGTGGCGTTCAATGGCTGCCCCCCTCTGGCTGCCCCTCTGGCCCCTCCGGCTGGATGGAGGGTCCTCCGGGTCTGGGGGCCATAGATGTTCCAGATGTTCCAATTGAGTGAACTGATTGGCTTTGAAGACTGGACTGGCCGGATGGCCTGGAGAAAAAAAACGCTGAAAAGGATGCGAATTCAACACGAATTCAACCAAGGACGACCAGCAGTTCCGCAGTTCGAGTGGTTTGTAGAGCCCCTTGACGCTGTGTTTCCAGAATGGGTGCTGTTGGAAGAGAGACAGGTGTCCCCCAAAAAGAGAACTGGACATGAAGTGGAACCCCAATACCCTCACGAGCTCACCCCAGCGCCCCGGCTATCTGCCGACCACTAGGATTCACCAGTTCCACCGGCTATCACCGCCTCCGCTCATCCTCCGCTTCGGCGGGGTGGTCGCCTTTGAGAAAAAACGCCCGTTCCGCCCCGGATCATCTCCGTGAAGCGTCGGCAAGACCTTGAAGGTCTTCTTCAACACCACGGGTTTCCCTGCTAAGACTAACGCCCTGATCGCTTTGGCCAGCGGCAGCAAGAGCCCCTGTTCCTCGTCTCGCAGCGGCTGTGCGCTGCTGCGGGTCTTGCAGGCGCTCTTCCAAAAACTGCAATGGATCAAAAAGCTGCACAGATCCATGTTCCCTGCAGAAGCTTGGAGAGCTGATCTTCACATATCCAGGCCACATCCCAACACCATGAACAACTCAAAAGGTCACTCTATTCAAGACTCTATTCAATAACGGAACACCTCACCGCCCGCGGTGATGTGTTCGCACTTATGAATAAAACAACAACCCTCGATCTCCGGCGCACGCACGGTTTGCGGGCGTTCTCCTCGAAAAAAAGGGGGGGGGGGGGCGCCCGTCAAAGACCCGCGCCCGTGTCTTTTCGGCCACGGCGCAAAGACCTGGTCGTTGTTGTTGTAGTGGGACCCTGGATATCCGAAGAGCACCTGGGCGCAGGACCGAGGCGCCCCCGGACCGAGGCCTCCGGACCGAACCGAACCGAACCGAGGCCGAGGCCGAAAACGGTGCGCGAGGAGCGTTCCGTTCCTGGTTTTGATCAGCCCTGGCTGTGGACCTTGGGGTTCTCGTCGCGCCCTAACTCCTCAAAACCCATCCTCCTGAAGGGTTCGGGGAGTTTCGGGTCCAAGTCGGCACCCGGAGTTTCACTGACAAAGCCCTTTTTCTCTGTGGACTGATAGCTGCGGTTGGGGCATGCCTTGAATTGCCAAAGCTTTACAGTGGATTGAGAGTAGATGGCACAGACCCCAAAAGGCGGTTTATATGGACCCCCATCCAAAAGACATCTTGGGGTTTGTGCCATCTACTCTGAAATCACCGTAACAGTCTTGGGAGTGTGATGCATGATTCAAGACATTGCCAATTCTGGACGCTCGTCTACGGCCAAGTTCATCCATTTCGGTTTGCCGCGAACCCGCTTCTCCATTGACACTCATTAAGCAAGGGGACACAGAAACTCAGAAAGAGATAACCATGGGAGCTTCTTACAACTCGTCCTATAGCTCCCTAGAACCTGAATGACCCCAAATATGGTCTTTTCCTAGCAAAACAGAGGTCTTTTCCGGGTTCCAGGTCTAAATATCTAACATCTCAAGCATAAAAAACACCCGTTCTGCTCCACGCCTGGCCGGGCGGTGGATCACCGAGCCTTTCGACCCAAGTTCCGTGTGAAACGAAAGGGTGGCGGAGGTCAGAGGTGTGGGGATAAGCAGCTGTGGTCAAGCCAGAATGGACCCCACCTGAAAAAGCTCACCCACCTCTCCAAATCAAGGCCACAGTCTTGCTGATGTATGGCACCCACCTCACCACCGCCCCACCGCCGACCTCCGCATCGACCTCCGCCGAGCCGCGTAGAGCGTGTCGCAGACGCCGGCGGTTTTGGGGTCGAAGCTGGTCGCCGTGGCGTTGGCCCAGTCGTAGGACTCGTTGATCGCGTGCTCAGCCGGAAAGGTGGCCACCTGATGCGCGGGCTGATGGGCAGCAGCAGTGGCAAGCAGGCAAGCAGGGCTGGCTTTGTAGGGATCCACATACCTTCTCAGGAGGTACTTGGGCCCTCCAAGCGTACATAAAGAGTCTCCAATCACCGTACCTGAGAAGGTACTTGGATCCCTAATTAGGGGTTGAATGATGTTGAATGCTTGGAATCGAACCCTGGGAGGTGTTGGATATGATTTTCTTTGAATAGGAGGTCCAGAAATCGTCTGTAGGGTCGCACGACAACAGGCGTCGTGGGCGTCGGACTTCCATCAACGCTGAACGCTTCTTTGGAAAAACACATGTTCAAAGGCATGACTGGATAGATCCGCTTTTTGGGGAACTGCATGCTGCAGATACCTATTTAAAACTCAACAAATAGACTGAATATATGAATGAATATGACTGAATCCCCTTGCTACCTCGTATCCTGCATCTCGCTGGCAGTGAATGCCCCTATCCAAAAACCCGACCGTGTCTACTCCAGTTCCGCCACCAACCTATATACACCCAAAAGCGATCCACTGCCACAATACCTCAGGTTCGGTACGACTGGAACCCTCCAAAGGCTACATGAAAGTGTTTCCAACCACCTTCTCAGAGAGTAATTATGTGGATCCTTAGGGATAGATCTATCACAGCCTGTACGACATTGGGCGAACGCGCCGTCTGCATCGAGGCGCTATCCTGGAGGCCTTCCGCTGCAGTTGGCTCAGGATCCCCGAGTTGTCAATCAGCCCCCCATCCTCGGCAGCTCCGGCAGAAAGGACCTAGCTATAGCAGCAACTACTACCAGTTACTACCACAGCGCAGTGCAACAGGAGTGTTTTCTTGGACTAGAAGAGATCACTGGAAGGGTTTTGGCAAGAACATATGACCCACCTGGAACCCATTTGACCTCTGTTTTGATAGGATAAGACCATATTTGGGGGTGGTTTTGTGGTCCAAAATAGAGGTCATTCAGGTTCTAGGTATATACCCTGCGAGTCAAAGACTACAAAAAGAATGGTCTGACTAGGGTGCCTGAAAGGGAATTGCCTTTACTTCACTATGGCAAAGTATAGTCTTAGTTCGGACTTCTACAGGGTATTTCAGATTCACCACCCCAAAAACCACCTGGGGTCTTACACTCCCGACGTCGGGCGTTCCTCGACCCCACCCGGTCCGTGGGATCCTCGCCGGGGGGCGGCCAGCTCGTACATCAGCGCGGGCTGCGGCTGCCTGCAGCGGTTGCATGGGTTGCGGGCAACCAATGGTGCTCACAGACCCTGGAGAGGGTGAGCAGCCCTAGTCCTATCCCATATGTACCGCTGTCTCTCAAGTTCTGTTGGATGGTGCGACGAGATCGAATTCGATGAATCTGAAAGAATGGAAGCTGCAATGAATGGACTGCAAGTACCCTGCAGGGCTTCATAGACATTTCAACTAGTTGGGTGCCTTAAATCGATAGAAAGGTAGACTGATCCCCATATAAAACTTGGAACATTAACATATATTAACATGTTTCTATTCTATTTATGATAGGGACCACCAAATAAAAAAGAACCTGGGTCTGCAACTTGGACCGCAGGACTTGGACCCATAGTCTTCTGGCAGGTGCGCTTGTGAGGCCAACAGCACACCCAGGCCCCCTGAGCCCCCCCGGGAGGGGAGCGGAGAGGGCATTCCACCACTGCCCGCCACTGGCCCTGAAGACAATGCCGTGAGGCCGATATGATCCACCCATTTCCCCCATCTCTCAAACCTGCGCACTAAGTCAGTGACCTCCAAAAAAGGGCACTACCAAGCGCATGTCCAAGCCCTCTATAGTGGAAACCGTGGCGCTTTCAAGCCGCATCAAGTCTCCCCAGGCTTCCTTTCCCCGCCAAAAGGTCTTCCGAACATGGCCGTTCGGACGCTTCACGCGACGGGCCCGACGCGACGCGCGCGCACTCCGCCGTCGTTCCCAGGCGCGGCAGCATTGGCCAATAGGGCTTCCCTTACAGGTGGGCCAACCATCCACTTTTCGCAAGTTTGGGTCGCTGGAGCTGGTGGAACGTCATGTGCACGGTGTCCAAACCGAGCGAACTGGGAACTGGCGATCTGGGGGTGGTGGATTTCAGGGGTCGGAGGCATATCTTCCAGTCCCGTGGAGTGTCTAGGTTTGGGGGTTGGATGTTTGTTGTTGTTAAGATCTCTTTCTTCGGTGTGATCTACCCGGGAAGCTCTCGCAAACGAGATCACTTGGGGGCTGGCATGTTGACCGATCAGGTGACTGCCCCCCCTCAGCCTTCCCTGGAAAAGGATGGAAAATGAAGGTTCACCCTCTTCCACCTACCTCTTCGTTTTGAGTGGGGTGTCCCCAATCTTCGTACAACAGGGCTTTGCAGGTCCACTGAACTCCTAGATAGGTCGGCTGGTGGAAGAAGGCATCCAAACCCTGGGTCTAGTCGGCTGTTCTCAGGTCCCAAACTCTGGATGAACGGTTGTTCTTCGTCTTATCCCGCTGACTAAGAAAATGAAGGCCGGCCAGGCGAAGCTTTCTCATGCAGTTTACGTGAACCAGGAAGAGTTTTTGAGGTTCTATTGAATCTAGTGTGGCTCGAGCAGCAGGAAGAGCGGGAGAATCTCCACCTCTTGATTTTGCGTAGATGATAAAAGACAAGAGAAACACCTCGTCAATCAAAACAAGAGGTCATCAAGTACTCATCTCAAGAAAAATCGAAAGCAGCAAAGCAGCTCCGCTGAACACCTGGGTGGCATACCTTAATTGATGGCTTTGTCATTTTCTGGCACATTTGGGGAGTGATGAACGGTGATGAGAAAAAGAGGGATGTCTCTCTTCTCCCAAAAGTGCCAGACTTCCGGCAGCCAGAAGGCCCTGGAAGTCCACAGACTAGGACGATCTACTCGGCACCACCCAAGTATTTGTCGGCAAGTCCTTAAGTCAGTCAGATCACCTTTCGTCAGACCTCTGCAAAAATGGTCGTCTTTCCCGGACTCCCCAGGGTATGGCCAGCACCGCTCCGGGGGTCTCTTGGCTGGCCCGACATGAAGGCCCATGTGTCAGGACCCGCCAGGCCAGGCCATTTTTGGGACCCCGAACAGGTGGTTCTGGGCATTTGTGGCCACCAGGAAACACCGTCCAGCGCCAAACCGCGCGGCGGATGTTGCCGATCTCCGCCAAGATGTCAGTGGAGTTTCCCAACTGACCTGGAGCCCAGCTACCTGAAGTTGAGAAAGGAACTTTGGTCCAAAACGGATCCGCAATTCACACACCTCTTTCGAACGGGTGGGATAGGTTTTGGAGGAGAAACCAAGGAGTTCGATGTTGTGGTTGTGTAAAATCACAAAAGCAAAAATGAAACTGATGATATGTGGTTTGATATCAGACACAGGACGCCTGGAACTTATTATGTTTACACAATTCGTTGCGTTTAGTGAACACCACCGATAGTGGGGAATTATGAAGAGGTGTATGACAAGTCTTCTGAAGTGTTGATTCACATGTCAATGCATGTCCACATATTGACCTGATGAGAAACTCGATGTTCTTCCCAACTCCAAGGCAGCTTGAAGAATCTGTGTGGCGCTGAGGGAGGGTATGGTAAGTTGTGGAAAAACATCTTCCATACAGATCATAAGCGGCACACACTGCGTGCCGCCCTTCTCCCCTATCCCGCAAAAACCAAGTCACTGATACCACAGGCATAGGGCAAAGAGAAGGGTTTCTCAGGGGCCCCCACGGAGACGCCTGGCACACCACGGGAGAAGCTGATGCCATGGTCACCGGTGAACTCTCCATCATGCTCTGACCAATCAACAAGTAACTGTAGGTCAAAACCTGGGGGCTGGTTGACCTGTCTATTTCGTTCATTTTCAGTGGTCAACCAGGGTCCTCGGGCTCTATGAAGCGCAACAAGAGAACAAGACACAAGGAAAGACCAAGTTCACTAGTATGATGCATGTGGGGGTGTGCAATGTGAAACGGCTGCAGGCGTGTGCATTCTGCCCGTCCTCGACCATTATAAAGATATATAGATATATATACCCAGAACCTGATTGACCCCTGTTTTGTCTTTTCCTATCAAAACAGGTGTCAAATGGGCTCTAGGCATATAGACATCTGCTTTACATCTCTACCATGTTGCTCCAGGAACCAACATTTTTCAAGAGGATCCAAGGCTCGAGATGGAAGCGCCCACGTGTTGACCATGTCCATGCAGAATGGCTTGCGCCAATGTGGCAATGTGATGCAATGCGTGCTTTCCAGGAAGGGTCACATGACCACTGTGCTCATGATTCTGGGATCAGAATCATGAGCACAGTTTGTTGGGGAGGCTTCATGGGGCACATGTTGCCCAACTTCTTAACTGGGTGAAGAAGACACGGCGCGTTTTAGCGCCGCGCGTGTCACGGCGCCGTGTGTTTCTTCACCCGAAAAGACGGGTCGGGAAAAGGGTATGGGGATTAGCGCCGCGCTGGACTGCGAGGTGGACGGCATGTCGTCACTACAAATAGGGGGGCCCTGGCCGCCTCCAGGGCCCTTGGCCTTGGGTCATGAAGAAGGTGAACCGAACACGTCTGAGACTCAAAAGAAACTCCATGTTCAATGAGGGGGAAGGATAGAACACACGGCTGTGTATACTACAATTTCTGTCGCGCTTTGCAGAGGACTATGGCCGTGTTCAACCTGGCGCCATTTTGCCCAGAGAAACTGTACCCAATCAATCAATCAATCAATCAATCAAGATGGCACCATGACCCTGTTGCTCCCCACGCACTCCGTTCAACCTTCAATCCCCCAGCTAGACTGCCCCGGAACTCCCGCCTTCGCCGCCCATCTGCCCCTTGCCAGACGGTGCCGCACCCCCAAAGGCGAAGCTTTCGACGAAGCCACCACCCACCTGGACGGCGCCGCGGGTGGGAGTACGGGTTCGAGTCCCACCGACTGGATGCTCGGCCGGGTGAGAGTCAGTGAGAATAGGGGGGGACCTCCCACCCCATCTGGTCACCCCACGCGGGACCCCATAATTCCGCCCGTTTGGGATCCAGTCGTAGCTTCTCAGGTGGGACTGGGGTGGGTGCCAGGGTCCAGGTGCCTTCTGAAAAGGTACTTGGATCCATAGGGCTAGCTTTTATATTATAGATCTTCTTTCAGTCTTGAAGAGAAAGAATCGCCATGAGGACTGGAGTAGCTACCTTAGGGGTCATTTTCATGGCGTAAATGAATGAATGTAATCTTTCCAGTCCCGTGATTGGTTTGGGTCTGGGCCATACGGTATGGGCCTTCCGCATGTGCTGATCGTCTTCAGGCAGCAGTCGACTGTTGGAACAGAGGAACACTCCTGACCAATTGAGGCGACCAATTGTCCAACGGTCCAACCAGTCCCAAACACGACCCGTTTAGGACTGCCATATATGCCACCCCATTGACCCCCAGTGAACCACCCCAATGTAGGCATATATGGCAGTTTTATGGAGTGTCTGGGAGTGGAAAAATACCAGCCACAAAGTCTTGACCAACTTTATTTACTAAGAAACTCTGTGGACTGTGGAGCATCTCTTGATGCGAACGACCAGGCTGTCAGGTGTAACAGTCCAACAAAACGTGTATCGTCCTCCTATTCTTCCCCCAAGAACCAAAGGGGTTTGGGCATTGGACCTAAATTCTTGCCAAAAAAAAGACATACCGGAGTCACCGCCGTTTTCCGGGGTTGGTCCATCTGACTTCCATGACGATGTGACTACCCATCGATCCATCAGCTTCATGGATAGGCGACCGAACTTGATCCGTGGAACTCTCCAAATTGTCCAGGTGAACCGATGAACCCATGTCACATGCCAGGTTAGGTGCAGCCTCTCTCACCGCTGGTGAAGGGTTTTCTCTCCACGTCCCATGCCTGGCGACCACCCAGACGCCCGCCCGCGCGCCCACCGGAGACCCGGGGGAGGACCCGGGCGGGAGACGTGGCACCGGCACCTCTCCGCACGGAATTGGATCGAGCTCGTTCAATCGAGAGTGATCACCCCCCCGAACTGGGTTTGGAAAGGGTTTGCCCCCCGCTTTTTCCATCGACTCATCCCGTTCTCAGAAGTCCCAGGGTTCAGGGTTCCACACATCGACCCGGGTGCCGCAACTCCGAAGGATTCTTTGCATCCCAAAGATCTCATGTTCTTCTTTAAAGAATAATGATTGCATTTCGCATGATGGGATAGAGCAAATCCCAAACATCTAAGCGGTGCTCAAGCTGGTGCTATCCATCCGAAACCACCTGTTCTAGACCTTCTTCCAGAATCCTCCGCTCCCTGCCCAAGGAACAGTCCGCTTCATTGTGCAACACTTGTAGAGACACTTGTCGCAAGGGCAAATGGGAGCCTGGCGACCACCCTAGCTGGTTGGCTGGTCTACCAGGTGGTTGACCCTTGGAAGAACACCAATAGAGACCTGAACTGGGACCCAAGTTACATAATGGGATAGACTTGTGGGAGATGCTCAAACCCACTCCCTAGGGCTCCTGGCCCTGTCTCCTCAGGTTCGGTGTTTGGACCCCCTGGCACCCACCCCAACCACCGAATCTCAGGAGCCCTAGGGACTGTTTATGACAAATTTCAACCCCCCAAGGCCTCTTCAGAGGTTCTACAATGGGGAGGTATGAATACCAGCATTCCCTAGCCTTCAAAGAACATGTCAAAAGTCGTTGACCTAGTGTTGTAGTGGAAATCCCTATAGTAAAACCATGTAAAACCTATGGTTATTCGGGATTCTGCCTATTCAATTCATAGTAGTTAGAACCCTACCCAAAACGATCCATGGTGGCGCACATATGGTCTCTATATACCAAGAAACCTGATGGACCCCTGTTTTGGGGTCCAACTTCCTATCAAAACAGAGGTCATGTCTGGGTTCTAGGCATGCTGCAACATATGCTGCAACATCTCTACCATCCCTCCAGGAACCGACATGTTCCAAGGTTTCATATGCATGGAATGATCATAGGTCATCTGGTGATAGGTCCTAGGTCATATGCAATGGATCGATGGATCGTCTGGCCGGGTTTCAAACCACCCTGGCAGCTGAGGTGGGCAGCTGTGTCTATCGAACATCATATTATATATATATATAGATAGATAGAATAGTCAAGAGTTGGGGTATATCCCATTCCCTGGGCCCTGTGGATGATGGTTATAAAGGCATGTAAAGGCTACCTGGACCACCCTGTCGGAGTGCCATGTCGGTGTGCGCCTATAGGTAGTGTGGGGGAGTCCAGCCAGGACACCCCGATGGTCGGATGGTCCTGGTATACTTGTCATATAGAGAGAGAGAGAGAGAAAGTTTGAGACAATCAAATTACATTGAATTACACAGAAGGAACACAAACACACACACAAACACGCGTGCCCAGTGTCACTCTACTCTTTTGGCAAAGCCTCCACTCACCCACCCCTGGCACTGGAATAAAGACCCAAAAGAAAGCCGCCCGGTCATCGCCTTCTGATACTGCACCTGTGCATTGTTGGGGTAGAAGGGGCTCCCCACGAAATCCGCAGTCATCTGGAGGGACACCACGTTGTCGTTGGTGGCCAGGTACAGCAAAGGCGCTTGCACCACCCCACACATCACGTAGGCCTGTGCATCGCGAATTCTCCCTCCGGGCCGAAGCGGAGCTCACAATCTGCCGAAAGGATCTTCTATCGCCCAGACACAACCCGTTTGGGACTGCCATATATGCCGCCCTGACCTGGCACCACCCCTGGCCGTGAAACTCGGCAGTCCGTCCCGGTCAGACCGGAAGACGCATCCGAGCTTTTCGGGGCCGTGGTCATCTGATGTGCAGCTCGAGGCTTCGTTTGAAAGGCTTAATAGTGGATTGAGAGGACCAATGGCACAGACCCCAATGTCGGTGGTTTATATGAACCCCCATGTTTTCAGGACATCGGTTTCGGTCTGTGCCGTCTACTTTGAAACCACTGTAAACATAATATAGGGCACTACCGGAACATGACATGGAACTCCAGGCGCCCAGGTGCCTCGTGGTGGACCCACCTTCGAGAGTTCCTTTCGACCTCCAACCCAATGGCAATGACCTCCAGTAGTGATGGCCTCGAACCTAATAGCAATGCACCCTAGTAGCAGTGTTAAGAGATGTGTGAAATTCTGCTAAGAATCCCAAGTCCAGTCCATTCCTTCCCCCCAAAACAACTTGTTACAGGGCATACCGGACGAAACCGTCGACTGTGAACAGGTGCATCCCATGACCCTTGCTTGTGAAACTTGGTCTCCAGACCTCGGTTCCACCCCCCCGGCCTGGCGCCGATCCGGTCGCAGGGTCAGGAAGCTTTTCTTCTCCAGCTCCGGATTCCGTGCCTTGATGCTCTCCACCTAGCCGCTCCCGCGGTGTCGCTGGTCGCGGTGTGTCGGTCACGAGCTGCACCGGTGGAGTGTGGGAAGTGGTGGGAAGAAAGCCTAGAGTGGAGATGTCACAAACATACTCTTCTGTGCCTCCTTGGTGATACAATCATCGCTGAAATCATAATTTGCTCATGAAATGGTGCGACACATTCAACCCTCAAAAATGAGATACTATGACCAAAATCCCTACCTGGACCCTCCAACAGGTGTTTCGTGGTGACAAATGCCCAGCAACCACCTGTTAGGGTCTTCAAACAGCCTGGCCAGGAGGGTGCTGGTACATGTGTCTTGGATCTCTCAAGTCACTCAGATTGGCCAACTGCCTGCCTCTGCCCGAAGCGGATGGATGTTTTTGGGGGCCTGATGGGCCTTGATGGGACCCTAGGAACCGTCGTCACTCGGTGGGACCAGACTCTGCCTCAAGATCTGCAAAGCATGGCACGTTGAACCGACACATGCGGGCCAAACATCCGTCATCTAAGACTAATGGACTCGCCCCCCGTTGGCTCAACCCCCTTTGAGCCAAACATCCGTCATCTCGCAGCAAGCCGCCGCCGCGAGAGCACCGACGACGCGTCGGGTGGCGCCGTGCCGCGGAGAACGAAACGCTTCGGGGTCCCGCCTGCTGATCGTCGAGTGCCAAGTAATTGGCAAAGCTCTTGAGCTCGTCGAAGTACCCTAGGGGCGACCACGTGAACTGAACGTGAACGGACGATGTTTGGCAGTCCCAAGCATGCAGCCCCAGTCTGAGGAGAACAAGAAGAACGAGGCGAAGGCCTGGAACACGTTGTGGGAAGGCCGGTCTCCCACCACGTTCTTCCGTCTCGCCGGTCCAGTTCACGTGGTAATCTGTCCGTCCAGTTCCATCGGGAGAATCACGACAATGCGGGGACGTCACACGTGGAACCCATGGTGAACTCCTTCTGACAGGTTAGACGGATCGTTTGTTTTTTGGGGAAAGGTAGGCAACAATCATGGCAGTGGATGGCACCACCGGTTTGGTAGAGGAAAACAGTCTGAACCAGTCGAGGCCATGTTCCACTTCCACCATGTTTGTTGGAGGGAGGGTAAGTAAAAAGTTTGACTGTCCAAGGTTACACCTACCCTAGGAGTCCATTCACCACCAACGTCTCCCCTTGGTGGTGATAGGGAGAAGACGACACGTGATGACTACCAGGTGGAGTAGTTCATGAGTCACTGGAAGTTCTGGGTTAGGATCAACATGTCCAGGCACAGTCACTGTGTAGGTGCCAATACAAAAAGACCATCGCCTCAGACAGTTCCATCGTCGACCAATCGTCGAAGCACCCCACAGGCCGTGCTCTGCCGCCGGTCGAGACCGGCCACGCACGGCCACGCACGGCCGCCGTGGCGATTGCCCAAAAGATCGGGACGGGCCTAGGTGTCCTTTCCCAGACATGACCTGTCTGGGACTGCCAGGACGGACTCCCGCCCTATTCACCCCAAACTTCCAGTCACTTTTGGCCGTTTCTCGACGGTCCGGCAGTCCCGGACCGGTGGTGTATGATCCATGGACCCCTTTTCAACGGGCCCCCAACGGATCGATCTTGAGGGTGACTTCAGATGGAACGCCTCCAGACCAAAGATACAGAGATACATCGATCAGTACATCTCTACATACCCGACGATCCGGGGGCACGGGGCAGCGACCCGCGACCCAAGCTGCGCGAAGCGTCGCTCAGCTCTTCACACCCAAGCTGCGCAATAACCATCGCGACATGATGTGCGGCCAGACCTGGCGAGTCGGCAGATCCGATGGGACGAAGGAAGCCGCAGCTGGTCGAATTTCCCAGCCACCCACCCAGCTTGTAGAGGAGCAGCTTGTAGAGACCAGAGCAAGTTTGGAAGGTTTCGACATGTGCAAGTTGACCAAAAGTCTCTGCCCCGAGTCAGAGACTCACTCACCACAAACATTGAAATGGGGAACAACGGAATGTGCCAGAAGAACTTCATGATACAAGTACTGGATGTTGGCCATTGACCACAAAAACGAGAGGAAGGTATTCATCAAACCAGTTGTAGCATTCTCCGTTTCGGCCAAGGCTCCGCAAAATCCAGTTTAAAGTGGTCAGACTTGAAGGCTCGAGTTCTTTTTCCAGCGATTGCAAGCCCAGTGAGACCCCTTGAGGGGTTTTAGATCGCCTATACAAAACTACAACCAATCTCCAGATTGTCCAGGACTCAACGGCCGCCGTGAAGGTCGACCTCAAACTCCTTCAAGCGCAGAGTCTGGAGGCTGCTGGGCAACTGGGAGGGCACCAAGTTTGAGGGCTTGAAGCACTCGCCAAAGAACAAAGACTGCAAGCTCGGGGGCCAGTGAACTCCCTCCATGCTCTGATTGAAGCTAAAGCCAAGCGTCAAGGTCTTCAGATTGCTGGGCAGCACGACAGCTTTGAAACTCTGGTTGAAAGCATGACGCCTTTAAAGCTCTGGTTGTATCCATCGCCCAAGGTCAAAGTCTGCAAGCCACTTGGCAATGCAACGCCTTCCAAACTCATGTTGAAATAATGGCCAAAAGTCAAGATCTGCAAACCGCTTGGCAGCAAGACGGGTTCCAACCTCTGGTTGAACTCGTGACCGAAAGTTAGAGTCTGCAAGCTGTGCGGAAGTGTGACACCTTCCAACTCCTGGTCAAAGTCCTCCCCAAGAATCAGAGTCTGCAAGTTAGAGTCTGCAAGTTAGTCTATACAAAACTACAACAAATCTCCAGATTCTCCAGGACACCTCAACGGCCGCCGTTGTTCGGAGGCCGCCTCAGCCGACGTGAAGGTCGACCTCAAACTCCTTCAAGCGCAGAGTCTGGAGGCTGCTGGGCAGCTGGGAGGGCACCAAGTTTGAGGGCTTGAAGCACTCGCCAAAGAACAAAGACTGCAAGCTCGGGGGCCAGTGAACTCCCTCCATGCTCTGATTGAAGCTAAAGCCAAGCGTCAAGGTCTTCAGATTGCTGGGCAGCACGACAGCTTTGAAACTCTGGTTGAAGCAATGGCCGAAGGTCAAAGTCTGCAGGCTGCTGGGAAGCATGACGCCTTTAAAGCTCTGGTTGTATCCATCGCCCAAGGTCAAAGTCTGCAAGCCACTTGGCAATGCAACGCCTTCCAAACTCATGTTGAAATAATGGCCAAAAGTCAAGGTCTGCAAACCGCTTGGCAGCAAGACGGGTTCCAACCTCTGGTTGAACTTGTGACCGAAAGTTAGAGTCTGCAAGCTGTGCGGAAGTGTGACACCTTCCAACTCCTGGTCAAAGTCCTCCCCAAGAATCAGAGTCTGCAAGCTGTCGGGTAGCACAACTCCTGCCAAACTCTGGTTAAACCGTGATAAGATGAGAGTCTGTAAACTACTTGGCAGTGCGACACCTACCAAGCTCTGGTTGAACTTCTCACCAAAGGTCAAGGTCTGCAAAGCATTTGGCAGTGTGACACCTTCCAAGCTCTGGTCAAATTCATCACCAAAGGTCAAATTCTGCAAGCCGCTTGGCAGGGTGACGCCTCGTAAGCTCTGGTTGAACTTAAAGGCAAAGCTCAGACTGTGTAAGGTGTTGGGCAGCGTCACACCTTCCAAGCACTCCTTGGCCTTTGAGCCGACAATCAACGTCTGCAAACTTCCAGGCCATGGGACTGCCAGTCTCTGGTTGAACTCATCTGCAAGAATCAATGTCTGTAGTGCACTTGGCAGACCCTCTAAGTTCTGGTTGAAGCCTAGACCGAAGACCAAAGATTGCAAACTGCTTGGCAGCTTCACACCATCGATCGGCTGGTTGAACTCCTTTCCGAAGCTCAAGGTTTGCAGGCTGCTCGGCAGCGCCAAGCCATCCAAACACTGGTCAAATCGACGGCCAAAGGTCAAAGCCTGCAGGCCGAATGGCAGCACGACATGTTCGAACGTTTGGTTGAACTCGTCTCCCAAAGTCAAAGTCTGCAAGCCATTTGGTAGCACAACACCATGGAAACTCTGGTTGAAGTCGCTACCGAATTTCAAGATGTGCAGTCCATCAGGAAGCGCCACGCCTTCCAGGCTCTGGTTGAAGCGCAAACCGAAGATCAAGGTCTTTAATCCGCTGGGTAGCGTGACTCCTTCCGTGCTTTGATCAAAGTCATCGCCGAAGCTCAAAGTCTGCAGCCCACTTGGAAGCGTCAGACCTTCTAGGCTCTCGTTGAACTGCGCGCCAAAGGTCAAAGTCTGCAGTCCGCTTGGCAGCAGAGTGCGCAAGGCCTGGTTGAAGCTTTTGCCGAAGGTTAAGCTCTGCAGACCTTCCGGCAGCGTGACACGATTGAAATTCCGGTCATAAGCCTTGCCAAAGGTCAAAGCCTTTAAGGCACTGGGCAACACGGCACCGGCCAAGCTCCGATCAAAAGTGTCACCAAAGCTCAAAGTCTTTATGCTGCTTGGCAGCACGGCGCCCGCCAAGGTCTGGTCAAAGTGCCCGCCGAAGGTCAGTGTGTCCAAGCTGCTTGGCAGCGGAACTCCTTGCAAGCTCTGGTTGAACCAGGCGGTAAAACTTAAGGACGCAATGGCATTCAAGGCATTTAGACCTGCAGCACATAAGTTTTCTGTCCTTCTTGCTTCGTGAAAGACCTGCTGCAAACTGGCAACAGCTTCTCCAGCAGAAACCGGCCTGAAAACACACATGATCTCATCGTCACAAACTTGTTCGAGCAGTGGTTTGGAGTCATCAAGGACATTGGCCCCTGATGTCAGCACAAGGGTTCGCCCTGCTTTGAGGCCACTCTGCGCTGCAATCATTTTGTAGAGGTCCTCTACCTGTGCCCAGCACAGGAACAAACAAAAAGCCCCTCCAACCCCGGGCCCCGGCTCAATGCGACAAATGGAGCAATCTCAGATGATCTGACACCGTCAAAGAGGTTGCCAGTTGAGGCCTGAAAAGGGTACCAAAACCCATCAAAACCCTTTCAACTCCAGAGGAGAGCTAGCAAATCGGCTCAAACAAACTAATTACTAATTAACATATCGTAGGGAGACATCCCAAAGGCCTTCCGGAAGAATGGAAATAGACCCAACCCATTGGTCGGGGCTCCTTCTATTGAAATAAACACCCACATGGACCTCTTCTGGAAAATATCTTGTGATATCTTGTGATTGTGATCATCTTTGAGATCATCACGCTCTTTTTATCTTCGATGTATGTTCTGTATGCACCACAGTTCAACCCAAAAAAACAGCACAGGTCACCCGAATTCAAGGATCCGAACTCGGATCCTCTCGGATCCTCAAACCATTCAGCCCAAGTGACGCTGGTCACCGTCGCCCTCTCCTCTTCCGAGAGCTCCAACATAGAGCCCAGGCACCGCCACGACGAGCTCGCGCGTCGGCCTCTGGCCTTGGGGTGGGTTTGGGCGGATGAAAACGACCGGTGGAGAAGCGGGGTGCCCTGGTGCCCTAGGTTGGAATGGAACAGAGGCTGAAAGGCGATGAACGGCAGGGGCAAATCAGGAAGTATTCCTTTAGCTCACAACGTACTCTTAGATTTGCTTAAGATTGTCACCTTTACCACCAGCAGCACCACCACCACCCCATCTCTTGGCTCAGCCACAACAGCCGCTGGGCACGCTCCGCCAGCGCCAGCAGCGCGCGGGCACGTGGCACGTCCGCCGCCAGGACGCTCAGCAGCTGCTCGTCGTCCAACGCCTCCACCGAGGAGGTCGTCGCACCCGCACCCATCGCTCGCCGGCGCGGAGCTGCACGCGCCGGCGGCGCGGCGAAGGCGAAGGCGTTCGGCGAGCTGCCCACCGTGGGACGCCAGCGTCAAGTCTGAGCCAATGTGGTGCGGCATGGACAGGGTATTGGCGCGACCTGAACACCCAAACAAGCTCTGACCGGTTCTCATAGGATCCTCTCATGTCGCACGCACGCGCGGTCATGGTGCACCCCTGAAGAGCCACCAGAGTCCTCAAACTTGGGAGTGACGTGTCGCACGGTCTATTCGAACAGGTTCCCAGGAGAGAAAGCCCCAGGAGGATCCAGTCCTCACCCGTCTGAGAAGCATCTGCTCTCTTGGATAAAACATGATCAAAACACTCGGAAACCCACAAATTGCTGTACGTACCTCAAAGAGCACCGTTTCGGTATTTGCTTTCACGCACGCAAACACGTGTCCACTTGGAAGGGGTATGAGGTGAACATGTTTCTAGAACTCTGAGTCCCCCCATCTGAGTCCCCCATCTCCGTCCCCCAACTTGGCACCATCTCAGTCCCCCATCTCAGGTGTTTTCGACCATGTCTTGCCTTTTCACGGACGAAGAACCGCGATGGTTTTCGCGCACCGGCCTCCCATTCCTGACCCAGGAACTCCACGGTGAGCTCCGCTAAAAGCTTATCGGAGTCACCCTGCCAGCGATCGAGGAAACCGGTGAACCCGGTCCGGTCCGGTGCACCGGTGGGTGACAAGGGTGACAGATGGGACGTGAAACCAATGTGTATGGCAAGGGGCTCATGATGTGTGTCCCCAAGTAGTTTCTCACTGCAACAAAAACACCATGTTACACTTCGGATGAAGTGAACATGGTGTTCCTTTTTGTTCCCCACATCTCTGTGTGGGGTTCTAGTTTTTTGGCTGCCATCCCGCCCGACTCCGCCCGCCCGTCCCGCCCGTCCCTCCCTCCGTCCCTCGCTCCTTCCCTCATCTTGTGACTTGTGATCATCTGACACACACTCATGTTGTCACTCACTCACTCACTCACTCACACACACAACACAAGATCTCACATCTCACATTCACACACACAACACAAGATCTCACCACTCACTCACTCCACTCACTCACTCCACTCACTCACTCCAGCTCTCTCCGCAGTGTCCAGAGACTGCAGAAGGGCGCGCGTGGTCGCCGCTGGGGCCCGGCTCTCTCCGCAGTGTCCGGCGCAGTGTTCAGAGACTGCAGAAGGGCCTCCGGCGCGCGTGGTCGCCGCTGGGGGCCCGGCTCTCTCCGCAGTGTCCAGAGACTGCAGAAGGGCCTCCGGCGCGCGTGGTCGCCGCTGGGGGTCCGGCTCTCTCCGCAGTGGCCGGCGCAGGGTCCAGAGACTGCAGAAGGGCCCGCGGCGCGCGTGGTCGCCGCTGGGGGCCCGGCTCTCTCCGCAGTGTCCGGCGCAGTGTTCAGAGACTGCAGAAGGGCCTCCGGCGCGCGTGGTCGCCGCTGGGG